GATTAACGCCTTGGCCAACCAGGAAACTGCTGGTGAAAAACTCAAATTGCTACACTTTTACTCCTCTCTCAAACCAACGTTCCTCTCTATCAAGAATGAGAACATCCTCATCTCTGAAAGAGTGACCGCTGGCCTGTAAATGAGTGAAAACTGCAGAGTTCTGGCCATTAGATGTAGATCGTCTGTGTTGGGACATTCTTTTGAACAGTGGCTGCTTTGTTTCACCGATGTAAATGGAGAACTTTTTAATATACGTATATATTTTTTTAGAGGCACCTATAGATTTTTTTTGTGGGAAACAGAACAGAATTTCATGGGATTTATGTTGTAGTTTTTTGAGAAACACAGCAATACAAGCATTAGGAAACTTATTTGTAAAAAAAAATATGCATGTCCTTTTAGCATTCTAGTGTTGAGAAAATTGGTTTTAGTTATTCATATTAAAAAAGGCACACCAAGCGCCATAAAATTGTCTGGATATGTAGGACCACCAGTTTTCACAGGGGTGGCCACTGCCCATTGTAGCCCCCCTCTGGTGCCGCCCCTGTTTGTAGAACAAAAGAGCTTTTTGTGGCCTTCACTTTCCCACCACGCCTTCCTGAGCTCCTCTCCACGCCTTCCTGAACAGGAAACCCTGTTTACTCACGGACTCCTGGGTTCAGACCGCAAAAACAAATGTCTGCTGAAATCAGAGAACTACTTTCTGACTCCGGACCTAAAGAAAAGCTGCTCTCTGGGACGGAGAACCAGAAAAACTGAGCGGGTAACTAAATATTCAAAAACACTACGTAATCCCAGAGTTCATTGCTCCACAGCCTGCATTACCTAATCCCATAATGCACCGCGACTCGGGGCGGGGACACAGCCTGTTGTCGGAGCAACGTGCGTGTCATTTACTCAATCTCCGCCCGCTTCGTCACGTCCAGCCAATCACAGCCCGTAGAAATGACATCATTGTTATTTTCAGTGGAGCTGCCGCTTTGAGGTGGATAAAGTTCGTCTCCACGTTGGAAGTGATTGAAACTATCAGGCGTTTTCGGGATCTGGTTGTTCTTTTTGTTGTAAAACAGAGAGAAGAGCTGAGAGGAAGGGCCTGAGGAAGGAAACAGGAGCTCGGCGGAGCCGGAAGTGATTGTCGATGAGCGAAGAGGGGAAAAAAAACGACTCGAAAGAAAAGTTTTCTTGGGACACAAAGTTGTCAAGTGAGTCGAACTTCAACAATAGCCTGCCTCTGCCTCGGGACATTGGACTTATTGTTACAGGATTTCTGTAAAAAGAGTCAAAAGTGACTTTTTTTCCCATCTTTTTTTCTTGTAGAAGACGTAAACTTCCTCAGAGCGACTCGAACTTTATGTCTGGAAAAATGGAAGCGACGTTTTACGACGAAGCCGCCTCCAACTCTCAGCACGACGGTTCGGCTGTGTTCGGCTTCAACCCGAAGAGCCTGAAACAGACCATGACCCTGAACCTGAACGACCCGAAAACCTTCAAACCCCACCTGGGCGCCAAGGCCCTGGACATCCTGACTTCCCCGGACGTGGGTCTGCTGAAGCTGGCCTCCCCGGAGCTGGAGAGGCTCATCATCCAGTCCTGCAACGGGCTCACCACCCCCACCCCGACCCAGTTCCTCTGTCCCAAGAACATCACGGACGAGCAGGAGGGCTTCGCCGACGGCTTCGTGAGGGCCCTGGCCGAGCTGCACTACCAGCAGCTGCCCGCAGACCACCCGGACGCGGCGGCGGGGGGCTGCGAGAGCGGCGGCATCCCGTACAGCTGCACGGTGCGCGCGGAGCCGCCCGAGTACACGAACCTGGCCGCGTTCAACCGGACCTCCGCGCCCGTCCCGGAGAGGCACGCGAGCTACCCGGCCGCCCCGCCGCCCGACCCGCAGCACCCGCGGCTGCAGGCGCTCAAGGAGGAGCCGCAGACGGTGCCCGAGATGGGCGGCGGCGACACCCCGCCGCTCTCCCCCATCGACATGGAGACCCAGGAGCTGATCAAGGCGGAGCGGAAGCGCATGAGGAACCGGGTGGCCGCGTCCAAGTGCCGGAAGAGGAAGCTGGAGAGGATCTCCCGGCTGGAGGAGCGGGTGAAGAACCTGAAGAGCCAGAACACGGAGCTGGTCTCCTCCGCCAACGTCCTCCGGGACGAGCTGGCTCTGCTGAAGCAGAAGGTCATGGACCACGTCAACAGCGGCTGTCAGCTCATCCTGACGCAGCAGCTCCAGGCCTTCTGATCACTGAGGAGGAGGAGGGACCGTGCTTAGGGACCAAAAAGTGGAGCCTTTCAGATCCACTCAGACTGCAGCCCGGTTCTTGATTGGTCAGAGCAAAAGCCATAAAATCTCTTGTCCAGGCGCACAGAACTCAGACTCTTTACTACTTAAGTCTTCCACTTGTTTTTCTTTGTGTGTATGAGTGTGTGTGTGCACATATTATTACAAACTCGCACTTGCATGGCAAAGAATGACCCCCGTCACCTGTCCAGCAGCTGGATCCAGGTGCAGAGGCAGTCTGGACTCTGGTGGATCAGGACTCTGCAGGCACCAGCGAACCTTTGTACAGAACGACACTAAGCTTTAACACCTCCTGGACTTTTTATAGGTGTGTGTTTGTTTGGAGAGTTTACTGACAGCTGCCTTAATTTCATACAACTGTTTGTTTATAAGTGTGTAACTGTTAGAGCTAAAAAAAATAACACTTTGTAATATTTGTACGCTGTATTTTGAGCACTTAACTGTATATAAAACTATAAATAATAAACAAACATAAAAGGTGACTCTTTTTGTGGCTAATAATGAAGCAGTTTGTTTGTTGATGAAGAGGAAGGGCGGTCCGAACTGTCAGGAGCTGCTAATGGGTCGCTAATCTGTGCGAACGCCCATTGGCCAAAGAAAAGCCGGAAGTGAGCTGTGGGAAGCCAAATATGGTAATATATCCTGCATACTCATTACTACTAGAGTGTGATTTGTTTACACACAAAGCGTTCAAAATGGCATTTCCCCCCATGTTTCTGCACATTTAAATATCAAACACTTAAAAACGTACTAATTTAAACACAGAATATATAATATAGATGCTGGAGATCAAAGTGTATGTGATAATAGTTGACAGAAGTAACAACTTTTTGTCAAATAGCCTGAGTAACACACAACATTCAGACGATTTATCTTTAGCGTGGCCTGGTCACAATCTCATACTCAGGTCATTCTGTTCTTACAGGCATTTTAAATAAACACTGAGGAATTGAATCATTTTCATATAATTTTTTTTTAAGGTTTCTGTAGAAATGTATAAACATTATCTTACCTGTTGTAGATAGCTCTTTTAGCCACTTCAGAAAAGGAGTTTATTTTTGTAAGGGTTAATTAACAGTTAAGAATTTTATTTTTTTCCCATAATATAATTATCAGAACTGTTAATCAGTCCACAAAAAATCCACTTCAAAATGTCCAAAAGCTTTTAACTCCAAGAATTTACTGTTGGGCAGCTTTAAAAGAGTTCATGGTTTAGGTTACTGACTTAATCCTTTTGATCAAATTTACTCAGTCATTGATGTGCAACATATCTCCAAGAAAATTAAACTTTATTTACAAAATAATAAATTATTTACACTTTAAGCAACACGTAAAGGTAACTAATGAACCAGTCCAGATCAGCGAAACATCATCAATACAACACAAGCAGAAAGGAAAACTTCCTGTGATTTACCTTGTTGAAATATTTGAGGAAGTGTGTTCGGTCAGATGCAAACTTGGTCCAAACGAACACAAAGTTGTAAATAATTTAGCTTTATGATGATATTTTTACCAGTCAGTATTTCCAGATCTGTAAAAGACACCAGCTGGTTTGCACGGCTCTTCCTTGGAATAAGAAGCTGAACTGGTGAGCCTGAGTGAGACGCACACCCAGAGTTGAACTTGAATAGATCTGATTCAGTTATTAATAGTTTTGTGGTTTACGGTTCTCAGCTGACCAGCACACCCTCTTTAGCTGTCAGCCGCTGTCTGTGGACGTGGTCCTGCTCCAGTTCTTCATGGCTCGGGTGCCAGAGGCGAGACAGGATGCGCTCCATGTTGAGGGAGAACATGGTGTGGGAGGGCATTACGCCTCGATAAACCTAGAATTGATCAGACAAATGTTTTACACAGCATTAGATTCTAAATTCAGATTATAACTGGTTAAAGCCATAAGATATTTTACTATATTTAGTTAGAAACAGCAAAAAACAGAATGTCTTACAGAAAACAGTGAGATGTTGACTCACTAATCATTAAATTAACTCACCAAAAACATGAAAGATTAGTTCAAAAACAGTGCTTAAAGGCACAGTGTGTAGGATTTGTTGTTTTCAGCGACATCTAGTGGTTGAGTGGTTGAATCATCCTCCCTGGTCCTCCCCCCACCCCCACCCCCCGGTGTCTCTCAGTTGTCAAAAACCTTTGATAATTCCAACCGCGATGTCTACCAGCAGCTTCAGGGCTAGTGATGTTTCAAGTGGTAAGATTATGAGCTTTAATAAGTAAAATTATCCCAACAACAATGACAGACAACAAATATTACATTTATAGTATTACAACTAAAACCGTTTTTGACGCTGCCACCGCAGTTTGTCCTTCATGAGCCTTCGTAGACAAGATGGCGGCTGCCTGTGTGGCGACCCGCGACCATGGAGATATAAACAACTTTTTATAAGGTAAAAATAATAAAACAAGGTCTTTGTCTGCAATGATTAGACATGTTTTTTATTATTGTCATTAGTGATTATCTCAATTTCAGCTAAAAGACTTGACAAAATCCTACACACTGTGCCTTTAAAATAAAAAATAAAAAATCCAAACAATTTTTGTTTTCTTAAATTTCAAATTAGTAAACAAAGTTTGTGAACAGTCGGCAACTATCACATGTTTACCTCCAGAAACAGCCGTAGTGGCTGAGAATAGGTCAACAACTGTGACATGTGTGGAGCTTCAACAGTTGTGATGTGTTGGTGCGTACTTACACACAGATTTGTTGAGCAAGCACAGTTTTGAAAACAAAGCTGAGAAATAGACTTGAACACTGGCTGTGTCAGTATCTGTACATCCAGCTGACACCACAGTTATTAAACTCATTAGGGATAATGAAGAGTCTGCACACCAGAGGGAGGGCGAGCAGCTCATGCTTTGATGCAGCCACAACAAATCTGGAGCTGAGCACGCTCCAAACCATGGAGATAAGAGTAAATCTCAGGAGACACCCTCCCACCACAGCTCTCCCCTAACCAGATCCAGCTGCACTGAGAACTCCTTCAAGTTCCTGAGAACCATGGCCTCTCAAACACTGAAGCTTGTCCAGTTTCACTATTTCTGTAGGTTGGTCAGCATAAAGCAGCTCAATCACGTGACTCCAACTGCCACGTGGTTTTTTTTTTTTTGCAGACTCAGCAGTTTTGTTTACATTGTCCTCGTCTACCAAACCTGATCGTTGTAGCAAAACCTGTTTTAACATTTTTCATTTAATGGAAAAACTATTTTTCAAATTTTGCTGATATTTTGTAACAAATAAAATTATTCGGCTGAATTTAAATTAATTGGCTCAATATACTTTGAGTTCATTTTGGGCTCTTGAAGCAGTTAACTGCTGATAAAAAATTAATTAAAAAGTGAACATATCCTGCTTTTAAGTCCTCCTTTTTCACATTTAAATCTTTCAGATGGAGTCTTTATAAAGTGGAACTACAGTGATTTGGTCTGAATTCCTCCTTACTGTAACTCCACAAGCCCCGCCCCTTTTCTGAGGTGTGTCTCAGATGAACTCGTTTTAAGGCTGTCTCTTTGAATCCAGACAAGGTGCTTCACAACACGGCCCCTCCAGCTTCCAGACCGGTCCTTTCTAGCTTTATAGAGGGTTTTATGACTTTATAGCTGCACAGAAACATTTTATTTACAAATGAATTAAAAGATGTCAACAACAGAAGACTTGTCCATCCAGACTTACATGCTGGAGTCAAAGTCTGACCCAGAACCAGAGAATGAAGACCACCAAATTGTAGTTGGTAAGTCCAGAACTTATTTAGAGTTCTGTCGCAAATACTGTGATGTAATAGTTCAGAAAACATAGTAGAAAACTGAATGGATTGAAAAATAAGACGAAAACAAAATACAAAGATATCTTTGTAGCAACAGGCAAGACTAAATTCAACATTTCTACTTCCTAGAGACTCCAAGTCCACAACAAAATGTATTTAATTACTAAAATGTGGATTTTGCAGATATGTCCCCTTTAATAACATGGAGAAAAAAAAATATATTAGGACTAGAGATGGGCACATTTTTTACCTTTAATGCTTCCAGAAGGTCAAACATGTTGATCGGGGGAAGGGGTGCAGGAAGAGTGTCAGAGGAACAAGCCAGCAAATGAACAGCTTTCTGCTCAGCCTCATCAGGCAACACCTGTGGTGGTGGGCAGGCAGGGAGAGAAGCACTTGGAGGGGGACTAGGGGATAAAAACAAAATAAAACCAAAAAGTCAATCTGTATTAGTAAACCCGTCGAACAAGTGACAGAAACATTTATAGGAGTGTTCCCTACCATTCATTGATGCCGTGGTAGGCTGCCAGGCTGTTCTTAAGGTAAGGCTGAGGCGTAATGTCGCTGCCGAAGGCGTAAGGGAAATGGTCGTCTCGTAATCGATACGCCTTCCTCCGAGTGATTACAGCAGTCAGCACATCTTTCAAATGGTGCTAAAACAAGTCAAAACTCTGTTCAGACACTACTGATGATCTTCCACTGGTAACAAACACATAAATAACACAAACCTACAGTCTGAGGACAGAAACTGATTTCATTTTCCAGGAAAATATATTTACATCCTCGTTTTATAACCCCAATATTTAAATTATTATTATTATATGAAACATTAGGGTCAATGAAAACATTTCTCAAAATATGAACTTGGTCTTCCCTGGGGTCTTCTCTGAACTGAACATGCCTGGGAACTTTCCATAGTGAGGAATCCTGACCAGATGAACCACCTGAGCTGGTTCCTCTGGATGTGGATCAGCAGCTCTACTCTGAGGCTCTCCTGAAGAACTGAAGGTGTCAGAGCTCAGCCACCCTGCAGGAAGAAACTAATTCCGACTGCCTGAATCCACAGTCTCGTTCTTCCAGTCACTGTTTGTGAACACAGGTGAGGGCAGGAATGTAGACCAACCAGTGAACAGAGCTTGGTCTTGAAGCACAGTTCCCTCTTCACCACAACAGACCCTCACAACCAGCAATACTGCAGAAGCTGCACCTGATCAAAACTGTAAGACCAGTTGAAAAATAGCAAGAATCCACATTTTGCACAGTTGGGTTGTAAGAAGGTTCCAATTAGAGTTACAATATGCAAAAAGCAGAAATGGGAGTGAGTGAAAAAAACATTTGAGTCAGCATTTTATTGCAAACAAGCATTAAACTGAAACAGCCAGTTCATCAGCTGATCAAAGGTTTAAGACCATATCTAAAAAAATTATTCAAGACTCCCTAAAATCAAAATAAAATAAAAAAAGAGACAGTAATAAGTAATTGAGACATTCTTGTTAATTTTCTTTCAGCATGCTTGATGCTGGTGTTTCCAGGAGGTCAGAGAAAACGTTGCTCCAAGTGGTGAAGACAGCTTCATGGAGAGCACCCACTGTTTGGAACTGGTGGAACTTTGTAAATTTCTCTTGCCATCCAACCCTAAATGTTTAGATTTAGATCAGGACAACACGCAGGATGGTCCAAAAGACTGATGCTATTTGTCAGGTGGACATTGTGAGCTGCAGTGTTGTCCTGTTAAAAAACCCAGACATTACCAAACAGATGATGGTCTTCAGTCATGAGGGATGCCCCCTGCAACATCTCCACAGATCCAGCTGCTGTTTGACGCCTCGGCACAACCTGAAGCTCCATTGTTCCATTGAAGGAAAACGCACCCCAAATCATGATGGCGCCCCCACCACTGTGCCGTGAAGAAAACATCTCAGGTGGATCTCCTCGTCATGCCAGTAATGTTGGAAGCCAACAGGACTGTTGGGTCTACCACTTGACTTTTTCCCCATAACCCTCAGGATCTTTGATGACTGTTTTACTGTGTCTAAACTCAGCAGCAATGACATGCTGTGAGAAGTATTGCTTCTGCAGCTCAACAATTCGACTACGTTCAAAGAGAGAAACATTTTTAGTCTTTGCCATTAGGAGGTCATGACACTAACCTGACAAAAATTACAAACAATCCTCATTTTTGTGGCTGTGGTCTTAAGCTGATGAACAGCCTGTTTCAGCTTAATGGTTGTTTGCAATAAAATGCTGACTCAGATGTTTTCTGTCTCACTTCCATTTCTTTTATTTTTTTATTTTTTTGCATTTCAAGGTGCTACTTAGAACCTTCTTGAGATCCAACAGTGCAAAATGTGAATACTTGCCATTTTTCAACTGGTCTTAAAGTTGTGATCAGGACTGTATATACACTCCTGATCAAAATCTTCAATCGGGGAACATGCAGGATGGTCCATAGAGTGATGTTATTCTCTTGGAAGAACTCCTTTGTCAGGCGGGCATTGTGAACTGCAGCATTGTCCTGTTGAAAAACCCAATCATTACCACACAGACGAGGGCCCTCAGTCATGAGGGATGCCCACTGCAACATCTCCACATAGCCAGCTGCTGTTKGACGCCCCTGCACAACCTGAAGCTCCATTGTTCCATTGAAGGAAAACGCACCCCAAATCATGATGGCGCCCCCTCCACTGTGCCGTGTAGAAAACATCTCAGGTGGGATCTCATTGTCATGCCAGTAATGTTGGAAGCCATCAGGACCATCAAGGTTGAATTTTTTCTCATCGGAGAAGACAACTTTCTTCCACCTTTCAGTGTCCCATGTTTGGTGCACCCTTGCAAAGTCCAAACAGGCAATTTTGTGGCATTGAAGAAGACGTGGCCTTTGAAGACGTTTTTAGTTTCTGAAGCCCTTCTCTCACAGATGCCGTCTGATGGTTATTGGGCTGCAGTCAGCACCAGTAATGGCCTTAATTTGGGTAGAGGATCGTCCCGTGTCTTGACGGACAGCCAATCGGATCCTGTGGCTCAGAGCTGGTGAAATTTTTTTGGGTCTACCACTTGACTTTTTTGTTCCATAACCCTCAGGATCATTTAAAAAATGCAAAATGACTGTCTTACTGTGTCCAACCTCAGCAGCGATGACACGTTGTGAGAGGCCTTGCTTATGCAGCTCAACAATCCTACCACGTTCAAAGTCAGTGAGTTTTTTGCTTTGCCATCAGGCGGTCTTGACAGTGTAAAGACTTGACAGAAAATGACATGGAATCCAGATTTTTGCACAGCTTTTGGCTTTTAAAGACTGTGGTCTTAAACTTTTGATCAGCTGAAAAAAATCATGTTTGAGTGTAAAGGCAGTTTTCAGAAAATTCCCTGCTCAAAAGTTCTTGTCTCTTGCACTGATTTCTTCTTTTAACATTGTGAAGCTCTACTTAGAACCTTCTTAAGATCCAAAAGTGTAAAATTCAAATACTTGCACTTTTTTGACTGGTCTTAAGATTTTGATCAGGAGTGTATCTGTCAGGCTCACGCTCCATTCTCTCTTCTCATGAAAAAAAAAACCTGAGATATTTGAACTCCACCAGATGAGCCACCACCTCACTTCCAACCCGGAGAGAGCAATCTACCTTTTTCTGACAGGAACCATGGACTCAGATTTGGAGGTACTGATCCTCATCCCAGTTGTGTCACACTCTACTGCGAACCACTCTACTGAGAGCTGAAGATCTACTGCGAACCACTCTCAGTAGAGTGGACCACACAACGTAAACTGGACCACATCATTGGTAGACATGGAATCCTGAGGCCACCAAACCAGATCCTAACGACACGTGGCTGCACCGAGAAATTCTGTAGAAATTTCATCTTAATGAATAGAATCAGAGACAACAGGCAGCCCTGACTGAGTCTAACTCTTACCATGAAGAGTCTGTAGAGAACCAGACTCCTGCACTGTTTATAATAAGGACTGAATGACATGTAGCAAAGGACCCCTGAAATCATACTTACAGAACACACCCACAGGTTTCCCTGAGGAACACAGTCAAATACCTTCTTCATGTCAACAAAACACATGTAGACTGGTTGGGCAAACTAAAATGCCCCTTCAAAGACTCTAGCAATGGTAAAAGATGGTTGTGTTTGACAGAACCTGATATGTTCCTCCTGAATTCAGGGTTCGACCATTAATCAGACTCTTTCCTCCAGTTACCCTGAATAGACCTTATCTAAGGGGTTTGATCTTCCTGTAATGTAAACACACCCTCTGGTTCCCCTTTTTCAAGAGGTGAACTACCACCCCAGCTGAGCTAAGTACAAATACTTTGTTACTTAAGTAGAATTTTTGGGTATCTGCACTCTACTTGAGTAATTATTTTTCAGCTTGTTTTCATTCCAGCTTGTTATTGTAAAAAATAAATACTATCCATACAAATTGTGCCTCCTAGATAAGAGTGAATTTAATTGTGGTTGAATAAGAAGTATAAATATATAAAAATCTGATACCGTATTAGTTTGTACACAAAGAAATCATGTCACTCTCCAGCAGGACATAATCATTAAAACTAAAGGACTGTACTTGAGAAGTATTTGTATTTCATGAATTATATTACTGCATTTGGCCGCAGCCCTCAGATAGATTTTCATTTTGGGGAAAAGGTTTGTGCAGCCTTGATATATGTATATAAACTGAAACAGCTAGAGTAGTGCATCCTGAATTTAACATCAATGAACTATTTTAATATGACAATCATTTCTGCATTTTTTTTGGGCAAGTCACCTCCGAATAAATGTAATTACATAAAATCTAACTGCTCATTTTAATTCAATACTTTTAATATTTAAGAACAAAAAAAATCAGATACTTTAAGACTTTTACTTAAGTAATATTTCTAAAGGAGACTTTAACTTTTACCAAAGTAATTTTTGTAAGATACTTGTACTTTTATTCAAGTATCACTTTGTGGTACTTTTTACAACACTGTACCCCAGTCTGCCAATCCAGCAGCACAGCAATGTTGCAAAGGTACAAGACAGTCTAGCAACATCTAGAGTCCTGATGAACTCAGGGTGGATCTCATCAACCCCCCATGACAGAGCTGCCATTGAGCTTTTTAACTACCGTATTTTTCGGACTATAAGCCGCGACTTTTTTCCTGAACTTTGAACCATGCGGCTTATAGTCCGGTGCGGCTTATACGTGGATTTTTTTCTTCAGCCACCAGGGGGCTCTTATGCTCCATTTGCTTCAACCACTCGCTTCAAAAAAAGGATCTGAAGGAGATTTCTTTAGTTTTGTTTGTAACAAAGTACTTGTGTGGTAGACTCCAAATTTTTTTCCAGCTAACATTACTAACAAATTGACTCCAGTAAGAAATGATGTGAGGATTTGTGGCAATCTCATTCTGAAAAAGTAAATGTATCGCTTTGTTGTTGTTACACGAAGAGGAAAAACACAACTTTCAGCAGGGGGTGTCACTAAGTTTTGGTAGAGAAACCAAACTTTGGTTAGAAG